TCCCTGCTAATCCGCTCGCGAGGAACCATCGAAACGTAGCCATGAATGGAGACAAGTCAGTGTCGACTTTTTGGATCTATGCACCCTGCTGCGTTGCTTGTATGGGGTTCCTCATTTTTGGTAGCATCGGCAATCATCACATTACTTGTTTTTTCCTGTGAGATTTACACTGATATTAATGCACTGGTCACTTTATTGAGTTCTGAAATAGAAATATTTAAGGTAAGATTGGCATTTGCAACAGTAAATGATGCTTTGCAGCAGCAAAGTCAACCAACTGAAACTCGTTTTGACATGTTTTTTTATTTGACACTGTAGGTTGAAACCGATCAATCATGGAAAGAACTGCTGGATGTGCAGATTGCGGTAACGCCACCTCGCCGCAAAAGAAGTTCGCAGGATGTATTTGCTGATTTAGGGATTCTGCACAGATTGAAGGTGATTTTGTAATTTTTCAGGCCGTTCTATGGGGGGTTTCCAGATTTTTTAATTTTAACTTGTATTTAAAGGCTCGTCAGAGTCAATCAGTGCTACAGTCTCAGCTCCCTCCTTTCTGCCAGTGTGAGACACAGCGCCCACGCTGTCCTCCTGGCCCAAGAGGACCTCCGGGTGCGCCAGGAGCGCCGGGTCGTAAGTTCTGTTGATCATTGATAATTTCGGTGTTTCGTAGAAGGATTATAACGCTGTAATATCCTATTTGCGAAGAGAAATTCTTTTATAACATTAATCTGAGATCAAGATTAGAACTTTTACATAATACTAAAATTAAATATGCGTGATCATAACATCATGTTGAAGTTCCTGGTGAACGTGGTCCGAGGGGAAATGACAACTTCAAATCATACCCGGCTGTGAACTGTGCTGTTCGAGATACAGGTTGTGTACGATGTCCAGCAGGCTCTCCTGGGTTTCCTGGACAACCTGGCAAAGAAGGGCCGAAAGGTCCACCAGGTCTACCAGGTAGGGACTAGCTTCAATTTCACAGAACAGTTCTGACTATCTTATTTAGGAAGTCCGGGTTTTACAACAAAAAGGGGACCGCCGGGCATGCCCGGCCCAAATGGCGATCAAGGCCCTCCGGGTACGGTGCATTGATGGGTGAAATAGCTGAGCTAGAAAAATAATAGTCTTTGAAGGTGTAAGGGGGGATGTTGGCAGGCCAGGGCCAC